AGGCTAATAGTTGCCTATGACATTTCCCCATTTTAAAATGATGAGGGAAGGGCAGGTTTTGCAATAATGGATTGTCCCGATCCTGCTACTGACTGTGTTAGGTGGATTCCTGAGTTCCACAAGCAATTCTGAATTCACCGACATCCAGGAATGGCTGTTTTCTGAGCCTTAGAAGTTACACCGTGTATACTTTGCAACTTTAAATACCCATGGAAATCTGTACCCAATCAAAGTTCCACACATATCTGAGGAGTTTAATAAAGCTATAAAAATCTGCCGGGCCATTCAAACAAAATCATTCCAAGTGCTGTTCGCATTAAAAGCTTGTGAAAAACTGAACGTAGTCTATCAAGTCCAACTGAGCACAACAGTGTTGACTGTATACATCAGTCAAAGCTTTGACGTTAATGCCCCATTCTATTGCGTGCGCCAGATTGCCTTCGGGAAGTATTGATTAAAAAGAAAACATCTGAGCGAGTTTCGGTGGCTGATCTCATACATGGTGCACATTCCACAACGTGTCAGGTGGCTATGCGGCCCACTTACATCATTTTACGTCCTCACAGAGTTCATTTCACATTCCATTTACGACTGTTACACGCTGCGGGTTAAAACAGAATGAGCATTACGTTTCTCTTTCATTAATCAATGCCTCAGCACAACTGACCATTTTTGGCAGAAGTACCTGTTGTTACCTCCAGCTCTCCCGGTGCGGGTATGACAGCGTGCGCAAACCTGAATTCGTGAGCCACCGTTTGTATACAAACTGATAACAAGTGATGTATTGAAGCCAGATTCTCAAATTCAACATACTTGTGCCAAAATTCCATTGAGTCAAATCTGACCTCCATCACTGTGTAAGACAGCAGAGGCACCCTTGACTGTGAGGCTGGATTTACGCTGCATTGTTCAAGTGACACAATTATGAGATTTTGAAACATTTTTTACTATTATTAAAAAAAATGATTATCCATCCTTATAATAAAAATTTCCAACAGTGGGTGGTGGACTAATATGGAGGTTGGAGCTCAGCAATGCAAATTAAATGCTGATGTAAAATTAATAATTGCGTTGTATTATTGTTTTGCTCTATGTTGTTGAGTTATTTACTTGCAATTTGGGTCTTTGTGCATGTGGGATTGTTTCATGTGTTCAGTCAGTTTAAACAAAGACATATTAGACGTACTGAGGAACAGACAGGCAAAAAAATGGATATAGGTAAGACAAGACAATTGGGCACTTGGACCTGCGATATTTGTAAAAAACCGGAACAAAAAAAAACCCGATGTCTTAAAAACTTAATAAAATGTTCAATATGTACTTCACTTCAGTGGACCAGAAGCGTGTAGCCACACCCCACTTAGAAGAGTCATGAGACAAAGTCATAATTGGATTTCTGTTTACTTGTTTACACTAAAATTAAGTTAATACAACTTAGCTAGCCTGTTAAATTACCCACCAAACCAAACAAAATACTTCACTTCCCATTGGCTTCCCTCGTGAGACTTTACATAAAACTCCACGAATGACATTTAACATTGCTCATGCTTGTCAATACAACTCATTCAAAGTCGTTCGTGTGAAACTTGAAGCGTCCAAAATGAAGCACCACCGAGGCAAAACGAGCGTAGGCTTCTCACCGAGAATGATGCGTCGTGCCGGTGCTTACCTTGCTTTGCGAAGCCGCTCTCTGCCGGTGCTGGAGGGGGGAAGAGAGACGCGTCGTTTCGATCCGTTCTCAGTTTGGAGGGCACTGACTGCACTGAGCGGAATCGGGACTTCCGCGTGGACGCCTGCCGGTAAGAGGGCGTACAGCAACTAGTGTGGGGGTGGGGGGGGGGGTTGCCCTCGGGCGACACACGGGGGCAGGCTGGGGCATGGTTGACGACGTCAATTGAGCAAAGTGAGTCCCCCGCTCGGAACGTGTGAGGACGGCTCGACTCCAGCTGTTGTTTGGGGAATTTAAAGATCATGTTAATCCCGGGGAGCAGCTACGAAAACCTCGCAATGTCGCCAACAAACTGTCACACAGCCGAAGCAATATTTTAGGGGAAGTTATTTCAGTCACGTTTAATTTTAACACTTTATCGTGTTTTAACACCCCCACTTAGTTTAAATATAATATGTCAAATTTACGCGGCATACAGTATTTTCACTTTACAGAACACACACACACACACACACACACACACACGCAATGGTGTGAACTATGTATTCTCTTTAAAATATATTTAATTTTAAACAACGTAGACTACACCCAGAATAATTATAACCCAGTCTGGTCATTAAGAATACTGTAAAGCTGTCGTCATGTATGTATCCATCGCCTGTTGCTTTCCCATTGTTTTCTTGTCTTTTAAAATTGAGAACCTGATGGCTTTGAGATTTTACACTCAAGTGTAACTTACATTTTCGATCATTCCCAAATACCTTGACCTCACCCCAACCTTGCACAAATTCAGGGGGGCGCTGCACAGTTTCTCCACAAGAGGGCAGAATTTCCCCATGCAAACTGCAGCGTTTGATGTGTCATGCCAGCAAACAACAGAAAACCATGCATGATGAACTGTATAATAACTAACTACACAGTAGCAACTTACAAAAGTACTCACAAAAAGTCGCGGGAAGGCATCGAAGTGGACTTTTTTGGACATTTACATGGATCAAACACCAATTGTAAACGTTGCTATCGGCTCCTCTTTGTATTAAATTGTTTTCACTGTTGAAACCAGGATTCACAAAATATGACGATGACTGCATGGACAGAATGTTTCTCTGTTTACACAGATAAAATATGAACGAAGGTCCTCTCGCGGTCACTCAAAAAATGGGCATGCACTCTGTAATAGTGTTGAGCGATTTAATAGAGAGATCTAATCTCAAGTGTTTTGTCTGTACTAAACATTTAGTAAAGATGACACAGCCAATACAGTCACTGGAGAGGGCGCGTTTGCCTTTGGCTGCTGCAGGGTCATCTGATTTCAGCTGCATGTGAGCCATGTCAATATATGGCAACAAAGTGATGGGAAGCTCAGCCCCCCTGCAAATTCCCCCAGTGCAAAGCTACCGGACCGCTGAAGTGTACCAGGTCTTTTTACGTCAGGCCGTGGTGTGGAAAGTGCTCGACATAAATGACTACAGGCCCCGCTTAAAAGGTTTTGCTCAATGTCTTCATGAACGCCATTAAAACGGTCAGAAATGTGATGATGATGAGACTCGAACAGATTGTAGGAAGTGTCAATGGTGCTCATGGAGTCCTTTGTTGAACAAATCCACATGATCCTCCCAATTTGCTTCTCACGAGTCTTCATTCTCGCTGTAACAGTTCACACAAAACACACTGCCGTAAACACGAGATCATACATGGCAATGGCGAGTGATGAAAAAAGCGGAAGGGGCGTGGCCTGGACGGGGCGTGGCCTGGACGGGGGCGTGGTTACTTACAAAAGTGGCACTAAACATGCTGAAGATGAAGTGTATTAAATTTACACAGTTTGAAAATTGAACAGAAAAAAATCCCAAGATCGCCACTATTCTTTCAAGTGAAAATTTGTGCAATTTTGCCTATGCATTCCTGGTGAGCACCAATATGTAACTCCAAATTTGCTGCTCAAAATCAAAACTAAAAAAGTAAACACATCCCCTGCCATATTTAAGATTTGTTCATGACTTGTATTCATAAAGTGTTGTGTAAATGTGATAAAAAGCTGTTGATTCTTACCTCATACAGTGATAGTGAATATTTATTATGCATACAATTATGCATAACCGTGCTTTATTATCCAAGACAAAACGTGAATTATCAATATGAATATAAAACGCAAATAAAAACAAATAAATGTTATCATGCTGTTGCTACAAATGCATACCAAATAAAATTGAAAATATCATCCTCGTATATTTGAATAAAAAAGTATATACCTCGGAGTGTACCTGTCTATCGGCGAGGGGCGTCAGTGGAGCAGATTTCGTTGCTTGGTTCAGCCAAAGTAAGTACCCCAGCGCGTAACGTCTTTAGTTGTATCCGCTGACGAAGTTTGTTTGAAAAATGCCGATCCCAAAGAATAATTGCTCCGGCGAATGGCGATTTTGTCGGCATGTTTTTTCACTTTTGTTGCATGATCTGTCAGTGCCACGCATCCACGGGAGCCATAGTTAATTAAGTCACTACAATACACACAATAAGCTTTGCCTGCTACGTCAAAGCTTATTGTCCAAGAGCTTCTGTAACTTCGTCGAACTTGGAACCAATTTTAACCTTTACAGTGACTTTTCTGTCAAGCCAGTCCAATCGGAATTTATTCTTGACATTTGAGTCAATTTCTAGGATTAAAGACTCCTGATCTTTCGTCAAAAATTTCATAATTCCGCTCAAAACGATCCCAGAACAATGAATTTGCGAGACGAACAGGCCGCCATGAATCAGGTAAAACAATATGTTACATGCAATTTGATTGGTCCAATCGCTTGTAGTTAACCAATCGCTGGGCCGTTTATAATCGAGCTAAGACTTCCGCAACAAATAATGCCTTCAGTGATCTGATTAGTTGAAGCTTTCATACACGTCCAATCGCAGGGCTGTTTACAAACGGAAAACGGAGAGACTGTTCGGGAGAGCTCGTGAAAACTCGACGATAAGGTACCTGACCGCCCCTAAAATTTTCTCAACGGATTTAGACGATTCACAAAAATGATCAATTTAAGAAATAAAACGGCGGATTTCCGCGGATCCGCGGAAAATTGCCATGTATGCGAGATTGATTGGTGCAAATGATTGTACAGTCGGGAGTGTAAAGCGGGGGACTTGACACCCATCGCAGGTTTTAACACCTAACCATGTTTGTTTAGACCGAGTAGGAGTACAATTACATACATTTAAGTACTCACCAATACCAAGTGGATATAACTCCACGAGTGATTATTTTGCTTATTTAATGGCGCGTGTCTATATCTACAGGTATTTGATTGTCTATGCTTTCACTGTCGTTTAGCTTAGCAGCTGTTTTTGGATGTGTTTATTGGAAGCGTTTGAGCAAACGCGCACGTATGCGGTAGGGTCATCAGTTTTGATGACGTGTAACTGGCATTTACGGGGTATATCTGATCCAACTGACGTTGGCGGGAATCCGATACATATCGGAATTGGATCTTTTGGAAGAGGCCTGATTCCACTCTGAAGATATCCAATTCCATGCCTTTTTTTTTTTTTCTTTTCAGCTGCCATGATGCATTGTCCTAATTCTGTCAATTGATAGCAAACAAAATCCGCATTGTGTCTTTTGGACCATGCTGTGTCAATCAATTAAGTTAGGCTTCGAGATGACTGTGGCGCTCACGATTTGAGGAAATCTAGTACAGTATTCGAAGTTTAACTTGGGGGGTGCTGGCGAGGGGGGAAAAAAAATGTTCCCCGGACTCCAAGACTTGGCTTTAACAATCCAGACTGGACAGTAATAAATCAAGTCAAGATCGCATCTTTGTTTTTCCACAGAGTCCGGCAGCTGTGTCTTTGATGGTGTGGGAATGGACACACACAGTGTTTTCCAAAGAGTCTGGCTGGACGGGAGCCGGCGTGACTTTCGCTTCTCCTTCCCTCTGGGCTTGCTGTGGCCCTCCTTGGTTCACGTATGTCCCTTGAAGAAGACCAAGTACTTGTCATCAGGCTCCGCCTCCTCCCTTTTCCCCTCCACCGAGCCTGGAGTGGAACAGTGACTCAGGCCACGTGTTTGGAGTGCGCTTGGCTCTACGATAGGGGTCTAGATTTTCAATGGAGATCTTCATTTACAATTTTGTGCTTGACATGACAATAAGTTTCAATCGACAGTTGAAGATGTGCTTCACCTGCGCGATCATTGCGGTCTTTTGTCTTGACGTTGATCCTTTTTCTTCAGCGCCCCGAGGGAATAGCTGGACCTCAGACAAGGGTTCTGGTCCATTGGATCCAGCTCCACATCACTGCAAACCTGCTGCATGGGGGGATGGGATGGGCACATTCACAAGCAGTTTGGGTATGCGGGTAAGGGTTTACAAGACATGAATGTCGGGGGGCTACTGTACTTGTGACAGAGCCTAACTCACAGTGTCCATTGTGGATAAAGACGAGGAAACCTGTAGAAACGTATTTTTGGAGGCAGACGATTGTCTGCTTAACACCGAGTCCCTGAAGGAGGATTGGCTCTGTGACATTGACATGGCGTCCCTCCGGGGGGCCTGGCCGAGGAAGTGTAGACAGGGGACTTTTTCGGCGAGAGTGTCCCTGTTGAAGCGCAGTGATTGTTCAGACAAAGGCCTTGTATCGGTTTCAAGCTCACGTTACTTGACTCGCTGAGCGGGGCGCTCTCACCTGTATTTCGAGTGAATGATGGCATAGATGAAAGGGTTGTAGATGGCTGAGGCCTTGGCAATAACCGCCGGGACGGCTTTGGAGTAGGGGTTCAGGACGCTTGCATATCTGAAATGTGTTTTCTGCACGTCAGAACCTGTGCATCACCGGTTATTATGGTTTTGTTTTGTTGTTTTTTTTTCTCATATTTACCCCGCCCACGCAATGAGTGTGACACACGCGTAGGGTGACCAGGAGAGCACAAACACGATGATCACAACAAAGGCAATCTTGGCCAACTTCCACTCGGTCTTGATGGTCTGCTGCTGGATCAGCGTTGACTTCCTCACCTGAGAGCCCAACTTCTCCACTTCCCTGACAGGACAGAAGAGCCTGATTAAGTGCGGCGAACTCAACTCACAGTTCCAGAGTGCTGTCAAACTAAACATCAAACAAAGACAATTTCACATTCTGTATTTAAAACAACCACACAACTATGCCTTAAAATCTGGTCGCTTCATGCTATAATATAATGGGAAAAGACAGAGACAGGCAAACAAAGAACATCCGGACAGTCCTATAATCCAAGGTAAGCGACAGATACTTAAACACAAAGGGCGGAGCAACACACACAGACAGATAATATAACAATAAATCACAAGCATGGATTCTTTATCCTCTGTAATGACCAATATTACTGATGTACTCCCACTCGGTATGTGTATATTCTATTGCCCCCTGGTGGCAAACAGAAGGAGGAGCTGTACAATGTCCGCTGAATTGAAGCAAACAGTGTGGCGAAAACAGTTACATTCTTTACCTTCTTTTTAATTATGTCAATACTCCATTTTAATTTTTAAAAATGAACAGATTAATTGCATTTTCATTCATTTCAATGGAAAACAATTTGAGTTGCTCTATATGTAGGACTCCAGTACGGGAATGATACATTCTTATTTAAATTATATGCAACTTCCCCTTCACGTTTTGCACAAACTTGGAATTTAATTGGAAAAAAATTAAGCATTTAACTGACATATGCAGAAGATCCCGTCAGCTACAACAACATCCTGCGCATGTCTTTTACATCACCATTTTTTGTAGCGGTGTTGTGTGACTGAACTAACAACGCAGTTCACACTTGAAAAATAGAACAACAATGGCATGAAACAACACTTATTTACCTGCTGGCGCGGCGAGTCGCCAGGAACATGCACAGATAGCAGTAGGAGATGATGCCCAGTGGGATGAAGAAGACAAAGCAGCACAGCATTAAAGTGTAGCTTTTATTGGCGGGAGTCGACGTGACGTAGTCCCACGTGCACGAGGTCATCAGGCCTTCTGGTATGTAAGAACCTTCAAGACAAACGTGTCGGACAACAATGCATCGTCAAGAATATAATAGAAGAAAATGTGAGTGAATAAGTGACGTACTCCACCCCAGAAGTGGTGCCAGGCTCCAGGCCAGCGAGTACAGCCACACCAAACAAATGATGAAGCAAGTGCGTCGCTTTGAGGTCCAGTGTAAGGCCCGCAGAGGCTTGGTGATGACGATGTAGCGATCCACAGAGATGGCCAGAAGGTTGATCATGGACGTGATTCCGAATAAGGCTCCGCAGAAGGCGTACATTTTACAACCTGGGAAGACAGCACCGTAATTTGTAAATGCAATAATGCAGATTGGTGGTGCAAACTTTTTTTTGTTTCTCCATGCGTCATCATCATGACCAACATTAAAAACATGGAACTGTGGATGGATGGATGCACTGATCGATGGACAGAGAGACAGACAGACAGAATTTCCTCTGGAATAGTGCTGACATGAAAGTCTTGCGAGAAGGAACAAGTAATGAATCAATGAAGAGATGAAGATACCGTATTTTCCGCACTATAAGGCGCACCTACAATGAATGGCCTATTTTAAAACTGTCTTCATAAATAGGGCGCACCGCATTATAAGGCGTATAGAATTGAAGCTACAATAGTGGCTGAGGTTGCATTATGCACCCACTAGATGGAGCTAAGCTCAACGGAACACAATACAATACACATTTATTTATCTTGCACTTTCACAAACGCTGCAGCTATAACAAAATGCCGACAGAACATTTAAAATACTACATCCAAGAAATCAGAATATGGATCCATATATAAGGCGCATCGGATTATAAGGCGCACTGTCGGCTTTTGAGGAAATGGAATGCTTTTTAGCAGCGCCTTATAGTACGGAAAATACGTTAATTGTACACATGATCAACGGATAAATACCCGTTTCCCCAAAAATCCAGCCCTTGTAGAGGGAGTTGACAAAGAAGATGGGCGACTGAGTGATGGCCATGAGGAAGTCGCTGACGGCCAGGTTCATGATGAAAAAATTGGGAGGAGTGCGTAGCTTCTTGTTACTGAAACACAAATCATCCCTTTGTAAATGGGACATTGTATGGGAATTCCTTCGCTATTTGTGCCTGCCCACCCATCATGTGTGAAATGACACAACCAAGTCAATCTTTTTTGTGAGCCGCCTAATCGTGAGACTGGGTGAGCAAATCATGCTGGAATTTTGCCAAACTATGACATAAATATGTTGCGAATTTTAAAAATACCGGCATCACACCGAGTCTCCCCGACAAAGTCTTGGCCATTAGGCATTGAATCCATGACTCTAAAAATAAGGCCTTGATTGGGATTAAAATGTCATAAAATGGGGTTGTTTTAAGTTCAGTCGGTAGCGCACCCGCCCCTTGTCACGAGGCAGCGGCTTTTTCCTGCATGTCATTCCCTTCCTATCCCTTCTTCAGCTGACCTATCCACAAAAGCCCCAAAGTCTCAAGTCAATCTTTCAAAAGTCCGAAGAAATGGTAACATACGATAAATCGGATTTTTCTGATTATAAATAGGATATCATAAAAAAAAAAGAACATTCTTAAAAAAAGAATAATAATTTACCGAATTGGCTCTCGTGTTAACATCAACAAAACAGTGGTTGTAGTCTCCTGACTAAAACCACATCTCGCTCTCAAATGAGCGAGACGTCATTGACGGACTTTGGACATTGGGTACATTGTGAACATGGTCTTAAATATCATTTCAAATGGAATTCTTCAATCCAAATGAACTGCGGTGAGAAATCGGCTTTAGCTAACTGCTTCTGACAAACAGCACATACGACATTTGGTGACATTTTCGACGTCAAGATGTGGGGACCGAGCTGACATGTCGGCTGATTTCAAAGAGACCCAGTATTGACTGTTGTGTTCGTCTTGCGCTAGTGGCTTTTCCATCCGCCTGAATAAGTGTCTGTCGTATGTACAGCGTTTTGGTTTTCACATCTCACCAGTTAGTAAAGACAGAGAACAGCATTTATGATGTTACTAGGATCAAAGATTCAATTATAAATGGTCGTCGACTTAAAATGGATTAATGGGGGTACACCACGGTCCAGAACCCTCAAGGATTTCCAAATCAAAGCAGTATTGTTACAGTGTTACTGTACCGACATATAGTGACCCACTTTGGTATCCATTCCACATTTACTCTCATACCACTCTCATGTATCGGCATGTCGACCTATCAGGCAAGTGCGAGAGATTCCCCACTGGAGTACGCAACTTAATGCAATCTCAGTGTTGTGCCTGACACTTGGTTTGCGCTCGCCCCGCTCATCGATGGCCATCGACCGCTCGAGGTTTCAAGTGGCTCTCTTGACATCAGAAGTGCATTAGGCCAAACCGTTAACTGATTTCCCTTTGCCGTCGGGCGTTTGCGTTTGTACACATCGATGAATGGGATCAGCGAGAACTGTATATGGGTTTGATTAGTAAGGTCATATAGTATCTTTTTGATTCTGGTCCAGTAGGCCAGGACATCATCAATAACACTACCTCACACTTCAGAAATTCATTCTGATAGTCCAGCCTTTTAATATGTGTCCCTAGAAACAACCACAAAGGATTTAAAATAAGATAAGAAAACCTTTATTTGTCTCACAATGGATAAATTGCCAGTTTACAATTTGATGCGTTCTGTGACTCACCGTCCCTTAAGAAAACAATTAGAATTGTTTAGAGCACAACACCTGTACAAGGTCTCCCGACATGTTTTCTCCCACAGACAAAAGACGTGTTACAATGTGGGATGTACACAGTATGTGCATAAACAACAATATATATATATATATATAT